AGAAGTTAGCTACATTTTTTGTAAGCTTCACAAATAAAGCTTGAAGCAGCTCTGACTATTAGAACCAGCACTTAGCCCTGTTACATCTGTACCCTGTGTTAGAGCAATGGCTGCAGCCTACAGCCTTTTAAACACATCTGTCCAGATGTTGCCACATTACTCTCTGATGCTTTGAGTTAAAAGAACTAACTCGGGGTGATTAAAATAACAGCTGTGAGTTCTCTCATTCTTCATATCAATGCCCTCTGCTAAGATCGGAGATGACACTACTGATTTGAGTTCATGGGATGGGAAAAGTCATGTGCACCCAGTGAAGATTAACATATCGACAATATTTCAAATCACAACAAAGTAAAAAGCTCATTCGGTTATAACATGATGGAAACTGAAGCTGCAATTGAGATTTTGCTTTTTTGATATTTCTTTTTTAAATTTTACCTGGAGGAGATTAGTGAACAATCACTGAATGTACCTCTACTGAGACCCAAAGATAATTAGAACATAGATATAAGCTAATGATGAACGGACTAATTAAGTATATTTACAGACTCTAACTTTCAGACTATAACAGCTGTTCCATGATGTCCCAAACAAACATAAATCACTTTTGCTCCATATTTAGTTTTTTCAGGACATACACCAGGACAGCCATGCTTTAATTGTACTAGCCGACTTGAAAACACCTAATGTGATGGCTGAAAATGAGATCTTTAAAACTGAAAACATTTAAACATTAAAAGACGACTATCCCATATTCACTGAATTAATACATGTAAATATCAGTGACACAATTTGTACTTCTGTAACTACAGCTAGGCTTCATTCCAGATGTTAGTAAGGTATGGTTTAACAAGTTGCTCATATTAAACACATACCCCCAGCAGAGAATCTAAACTAAGCACAAAAAGTAGGGAAATTTGTGTTTGGTCAAATATTTCTTTATAAATGGGTTAGCATTGCTAGCACCTAGCAATAGGTTAGCAAAGTGCTTACTTTGTTATAATGAAGGCTGAACTACAGACCAATAGACACACTGATTAACTCAGAGTAATAGGTTATGAACCAGTAGTTATATTTTCCACAGTATGCAGTGTTGCAGAGGTCAGAGTGATTTTACAAACTGAAATACCCAACAGTTGGTGCACCCATGAAAAACTTGCGAAATGCAAAAGAACTTTTTCTGCTACTGACGCTTGTTTGGTGCTGTTTACTGGATCAGATGATTGAAGTCTGGATGTAATGTAATATAAAATTTTAATTATTTA